AGAGTAATAGAATTTACTCTGAATGGCGAAATAACAAACTCATGATTCAAAATGTTGTAGTATCAAAGTGGGAACAAGTCAAATTAGCATAAAACTTAATAATATGAATGTTGAAACGTTCATTCAAAGTTCATCTTTCTAGGAGCGACGAAAGCAACTTTCACTTCTAAGCCAGTTTTTTTTTCAATGGAAAGTATTGAAAAATCAAACCCAGACAGAGACCATCACTGGTATCCTAACCGATTACATTTAGCTAGTAAAAATATAAGTCATAGCTCATTAGATTCAGAATGACGTGTAAAAAATGGATGTCGATAATTTTATAGCACACAAAAAATTGAATGACAGCCATTTGCTGTTAGAATGTGGGAAAACCTGTGAAAACGTAGTCCAGTAGGTATTACATATTTTTCATGGGAATAACACACTATTAATATATCAAACCACAACGTTACATAAAAATTAATTATCTAAATATATATTATTGCATAGATTGGAAAGATCTAGGATGAGAGGCACTGAAAATTAATTCCTGGACAGAATTCACGAGAGTAAAAATCAAAAACTGTGTTAGTAAACCCCTTCGTATCACCATAGGCATACCGCAAGGAACAGTTATGGGTCCCATACTCTTCCTAATTTATAAAAACAATATTAGAGTACTGAGAAACACCAAAAGTTCAGTAATCTAATATGCTGATGACCCAGCGATAAAGTTTTCTGGAGATTCTTGGACCAACAAGCCGAACGAGTTTTAAATATATATTTTGTTAAGTTATTTTTTGTTTATAAAAAAGACAAAAAATGTCAGTACGCCAATGAACATCATCGTTCTGTTAGAATATTCTCATTTAGTTTTCAGTTTTACTAGTAGAAAGGTACCACCTCAACAATCTCTAAAATTATCAATGAAGAAAAAAATTGAAGCGATTTTTATTTACGGTGCGAAGCGTAACTTTCACGAGACCGAAAGGATTTTCAATGAACGTTTTCCGAATTGTCCTATCTGTAGAAAATATTTGAGGGAACTTGTAACCAAATTCACAACTAACGGTAGTGTACATAACAAAAAGCCCTCAGGTCATCCGTCCATTCCGGAAGAAGAGCAAGTGCAAATAATTGGTGAGATGGTAGTGAATCCTGAACGGTCTACTTATTCTGTCACGAATGTTTGTGAGGTGTCTCCTTCTACTATGTGGAGGCTTTTGAAGAGGGATAGGTATCATCCATACAAAATTGAAATGGTACACCAATTAACTGAAGATGACCCTGATCGAAGAACAGAATTCTGTGAAATCATGACGGAAACCATTCCAAGGCATCGTACCTATCTCCACAATATTTGTTTCAGTGACGAATGTACATTTTTTCAAAGGCAATGTTCACAGACAAAATTGCCGTTATTGAAGTGACACCACCCTTCACGTTTTCCGGGAAAAACATACACAATATCCAGAAAAAATTAACGTTTGGGCAGGAATATTGGAAAACCATATTGGACCCCTATTTATTGATCAAATTTAACAGGGGAACTGTATTTGGATACCACTTTTCCCAGTCGTTGGGTTGGCCGTCGAGGTCCAACAGAATGGCCAGCCCGCTCGCCAGATTTGACACCTTTGGACTCATTTTATGGGGCTATTTGAAGCAAAAGGTGTACGAAACTGAACCTGCTTCAATATTGGATATACGGCAGAGAATAATAAATATTTGTAGAGATATTGACGTTACTGTGTTCGAAAATGTTCGGCGTGAAATATCGGATACGCTGTTCATATGTCAAGAAGTTCAAGGCAACCATTTCGAGCATCTTCTGAACAGACCTCAAGCTTATTACCACCTCATATTATGTATTTAAATGTCAATGTAATCAGGCTATTATGAAAAGTTCCGCCATTTCGTAGTAGTTGAAGATATTGACATTATATTCTAGGGTTGTGAAGCATTCATCAGGAGCTTCAAAAAGATGTGTCACAAGACCTCCCTTTCCATTCAATTTTTTTCCAGTCGCCATCTTGAAAGTTTCATCTGTCAATTTCACTTTTAAATAAAGTATTCATGCATTAATTTCATTATCCCAAATTTCAATTTTTTGAGTTGAGCCGTTCAAAATATAAAAGGGGGGGGACATTAAAGAAATGCACTGTATATATTGTGTAATATCATTTTGCATCCACCAGTTTCAGAATTGCTATTTATTATGAAGTAAAATGAGGTACTTTTCCTAAAATTATGTTCTCAGATGAAAAATAAAAAACGTTACAACAGAACAGTGGTGCAAATATCAAAATGTACCAGAAACCATTAATTTGTTACCTGGAGTTATGGGTACTTCCAGGTCCAGGTAGACACGCAGATTCTCTTTTCATTCCAAAGTTTATTTGGATATAAAAAACATACTATGTAATGAAAATATAGCAAATGTAAAGCCCAAACTGGTATTTTAGATATTTCAGTACTTCAGTTATCAATACTTGGAGTACAGCAATATATTTTTTTTACTTTACTAGAATTTCTATTAATTGTGAAGAACAATATTTTCAGCGACATTTTAGAAGTTTTATCTTCATCACATTTAACTCAATTGCTTTCTTCAAAAGTGTAACAAAATAATGAATATTATTATAAAAAATTAACGGTTCATCTCAACCATTTTCAGAATTCGTATCTCCCAAAAGTAAAATTACTATAGTTAATTATAGCCAATTATATTTTTATTTGTTAAAAAAATTTAATGAAATGTCAACGATATTAAATTCGAATTTGAAAAATTCAATGTTCTTTGTGAAATTTATAAAGGCATGTTATTTTAATAAGAACATTATAAAAAATACACCAGAGGTATAATTGTACAACTGCAGAAATACTTATAATTCATGTTCAATATTTCACATAACAATCCTCAAAACTTCCATAATAATTAATAAAAAAAACTTTGGGATCCATTTTTAAACAGCTGTATCGGCCTGTTGATGAAAATTTTCCGATTTCTCATTCAAGAATTTTCTGTAAAGTCGGTATAAACTCTCTTATAACTTTTTCTCATTCATATTTCGAAATACTTAGATAAAAATGAGAAGTTAGCAGGCAAAATACATCAATGAAATACCCAAAAATTGTGAATCATCATTTAATGATGTAAGAGTTACAGAATAATGAATCGACTATGTTCTGACTAATGTGAATAATTTTTGAGGAAAGTCGATACAATGTACAGGGGATGAAATGGGAATTTTAAAGGGGGGAAATGTTATTTCACGATTTCCACTGAAACTAAACCTTCTTTCAATATTTCTCCATAGAATTATTTGTTTCACAGAAAACTTCGTGGAAATACATTTTTGTGTATCCCTTAAAAAGGCCTCATCAATGCGCTAGAAATAGAATTTTCAAATTCGACAGTGGTACTTCTTCACCATGGAAAAATTTGCTACAAAATTGAAAATTTCGTTTTACTTAGTTTCCATAGTAATGTTACTTTTCTTTTACACCATCTGAAAGTACAAACGACCACTCTAAATACTGAAAAAACTGTTTTCAGTACATGGATATTTTGGGTTCAACACCTAAATAAAGTTTTGAACTGAAAAATTGAATAAAAACAGCGAGAACCGGCTTTTCCGATTTTTTAGAAAAATTTTAAGGTTTGTTAAAAAATGGTTCTTGCAAAAGTTGTAATTATTTAGTTCTTTGTATAATCTGAGCACCTACAACTTTCACATTCAACTTTTTTCAATATATCTAGTTTCGGTGGAAATCGTAAAAAAATCCACCACTAAGATTCACACCCGTACATTAGATCAATTTTTTATTTTTCTCATGGTGAACACAATATTTTCTAGCATCCCTAACAATTTTATTGCTGTTAATTTTTCAACAGGTTTTTTCACCGGTATAGAAATGCGACTGGGGGTGCATAATGATAATAAAAAAAAGAAATTTGTTACTGTAAATTTTGTAGATTTGCTAAAATATTGATAATGGAACTATTGACCATAATATTTCAAGAGCTACATCTCTCTGGAACCAGGAAAAACTCCCTGTATACGGAAGAATTAGAGGTTAACAGGAAAAATACATGACATTGATGGAATACTCAAAATTAGACAATCCTCATTTAATAATGAAAGGGGCAACAAGGAAGTGCAATAAATAATACATGAATATGTGAAACAGTGCTTAAACTGAGGTATTTCCTGTCAAAGCAATCATGAGAAAGTAGGCTAATTAAGAAATTATGAGCCTCAGGCGTCCGTCTGCAGTCTATCAAAGCATGACCTGGTCATTCGCTGATTGTATTGATTGTATAGAAAGATAAAAACGAATTTCTGAAGAAGATACTGATTGATTCACAATCGACAGAACCGCAAAATACGTTATTTGTGAAATGCAGCAGTTGAAGGAGCAGTTACACCATCGACGTAAGATGAAATCGGTCCATGGCAAAGACCAAGAATAACTAGGTTACACTGTAAATAAGTCGGAAGTCGATGACCTACCCATATTCTCGGATAAACTGACGTCATTATTGTAGGTAAACAGAAGTTCTAGTTAAAAAATCTTGGTTTATTTTCTAATGGGAACTCCATTCTTTCTCGATTGGTCCATGGCCTTGAATTACTTAATATATCTATTTTTCATAAAGGTACAAGTTCATAATAATTATTATTGTACGACATGCCCTACCTCCGAGACTCGGTCAAGAAACAAGAATTTGCCGCGCCTCTGATCATTAAATAAATAATAACACGTTGATCTATTGTCTCATTAGAAAAAACATTGTGTGAATCTGTCCAAACTTTCTTGTCAACGTAATTGAACATCTTTTTGTAACTTATCACATTCAAAATATTTTAACAGAAAAATAAATCCATGTTAACCTCATTTCCAAAAAAAAGCGATTTCCAAAAGTACTTATTGGCAATTCCTTACATTTTTTTACATCAAGTACTGTACATTCAAGGAATAACAGCTAACATCTCGTGTTCTGCACTGCTTACCTCTTATGATTTTGTTCCTTGTTGGTTAATAATCCAATAACAATGTTCCACAAACACGAATATGTTTTTATCACAATTCAGCACCAACAATTCAATGAAAGTTTCAATATTTCTCGAACAATTTACGTTAACAATCACCACACCACTAAATTCGCTTCTTTTCTAACGTTTTCAACCGCGGAGATCGGAGATGTATATACCGAATATACTACCAACTTTTCACAAAGTAAAACATGAAAAAGTAAAACATTTTCAATCCAACAGGTGTCAAGTCCCAACATCAAACTTTGTAGTACGGACTTTGAAGTGTAGGTGTCACGAGTTTCTACGCAGTCGACTCGCGACTCGTCAAGGCAATAAGTTAAAATGGGTTTACCACGTACTGACTTCACGGTATCCATTATTCTGACGTCAGAATCGGAAAATCCTCTTGGAAATACCTATTTCACGAGACCGCTGAAAAAACTTTATAACTAGGACTAGTGTAAAACTAAGTATCTAACGAAGTTAATGTCAGATCCTTTCGGAACTTTAGCTCGTTGCCATTGCTTGAAGCAATCCATTGGAATTTTTATGTTGAACTCACCAGTATATCAACTCGATTTCTCAATCTCATGTTTATGATGGATTTCTTCAACCAATGGAAACCACTGACACTCAATGAACTTTGCGATTTTTTGAAGAAACAAAAAGGAATATTTATTTTTCAATTGTAAAGGTTGGCTCTTTCAGAAGTCAAAAATATCAAACCACCCCAGTGGTTTGAGACACTAGTAATCTATATCATAGCGAATATATTTTTTATTTGTGTTATATATTGCTCTAGAGACATACACATGAATGTAGGATTGATTTTTGAGACATTTCAAAGTCTTCACTTAAATAAACCTGAATTTTTATAGTTTTAGTCAAAAGTCATATTTATATTCAGGAAAGTGGAAAAAATTGAGTTCTTGTTGGAAATTTCAACTATTGTTAGAAAACAATAACAAAATGGATCATTTTCCCAATGATCGTACGATATCATAATTGATTCCTTATCGAACTTAAATATTTTTTCGCGATCGTGTTCTGCTTCTATTTCAAAAGAAGGTGATTAGTAATAATAGAAAAAGATTGTGAAAGATAAAATAATGTTAGCCATATTCTATATCATCTTTCATAATCTCTCTTTTTAATGTAGTCTGCACGGTATCAAGAAGTTAAGTGACGGGATGACCGGTTCAATAGTTGTAATGTCTATGGATTGACAACAATGACAGCACAACATAACCAATTGAAATCATTCAACATAAAGAAACGTAAAATATAGTTTCTGAGATGGGTACTTTAGTCAGGATTTTTAATAGATTAACATTACTAGACGCTTCTGCTACATGTTCTAAAGCTTTAATCCCGGTAAGATACAAAGCAAAACATGTGGAAAAACCTGAAATTGGCCATGGAAAATCATTTCGACGAATAGTTCACTATCCTGAAGAATACACAGTCAAACCTTTAAACGTTACTAATTTGGGAGGCAGAGACCCTAAAACTGGCAGAATGGTTGTGAAGGGCATTGGAGGAGGTATAAAACATAAATATCATTGGATAGATTGGAAACGTGTTGGTCCAAGTGAAGAGGGTCAAGTTCAAATAGAAAAAGTGATAAAAATCATCAAAGATGGTTGTAGAACAGCAAATATAGCTTTAGTGGCGAACGGAGATAAGTTAAAGTACATCCTGGCAACCGTGAATATGAAACCTGGAGATTTGATCAAAACTTCTTGTCATATACCTAGGATACCAGGTACTACTCCCTTGAATTCTCATCTTGAGTAGGTAAATGTAGTAAATTTTCTTTTCAACAGCTCTGGTTTACTTTTACAGATACTACCACTTGAAAATAAAAAAAATATCAAATGAGATCTTCTTTGCACAATTGCAAGCTGTAGACCTTCATCCACCTATTTAATCGCTAATCAAAAGAACAGTCCACGTATGTGTCGACTGACAAATTAAATAAGAAATTTGTTGTTAAATGAAATATGATAAATTCAATATAATGCAGTGTTCTTTCAAATACAATTTTTGTCACTATACCACTTTGAAATCTTTAATCTCAATATTCATTCTCTTGCACTTTCGATGTCTGTATGTCTTCTTGATTATTTTGAGCTTTCAATCAGCTACTCACTGATTATATTGATATAAAAATGGCCATTTTGAAAATATATTTGACCTATGTCTTGTTTATTGATCATATAACAGATAAAGATATCATCGACACTAAAAAATCGTTGATTCACGCCCCTGTTGATTTCAGTCAGAGCCAATGAAGGAGATGCCTATCCACTAGGAGCCCTACCAATAGGAACACAAGTGCACTGTGTTGAGAAATACCCTGGTTTAGGAGGTTTCCTTGTACATTCTGCTGGAACATATGCAACCATAGTGAGAAAGGCCCCGAATGATCATGTTGTTATCATGATGCCATCGAAAAAGGAATTCAGTCTGCCTGCCATTTGCATGTGTACTGTGGGAAGATTGAGTAATATAGAACACGGAAGTACTCCGATAGGATCTGCGCAGAGAAATAGGGAATTGGGAAACCGACCAAGATCAGGTTTGTGGCAGAGAAAGAAGGGTTGTCATGGAAGGAAAATAAGACGACCACCCCCAGTTAAAACTATCGTCCCACTGGTTCAGGATGACATAGACACTATTGTATTTAGTTGTGACAGGCCGTTTGTGAAAACTCCGAGGAATCATTTTCATTACTAATTAAATTGGAAATAAAAGTTATTTTTTTGGAATTGATGTATCATTTCACAATAAGTCTCTAGTTAGGCGACAACGACAATGTCGTTGTCAAAGTGTTGAACAGATTTGAAATCTGTGAGAAAAAAAAATGAATGAAATATACAAAATTTGGATTGAAATTTTCGGACGAGTCAGTTAAAAAAGAAATGAACAATGATTATAAAATTGGATAGAAAAAAATGTTGATTTGTTAAAAAAACAGCTGTGACCCAAAATTGAAATGGATTAAATACTAAGTGGAGTAATCAAATAACAGATTATTGTGAGATTTTTCACTGTACCAAGTGTTTTGCTAGACCAGGGGTCTTCAAACTACGGCTCGCGGGCCAAATCCGGCCCGCCAGTGTCATCAATCCGGCCCGCGACAGCCAATGATTACCTAATTGTTGTTGTTACTATTGCTGTGATAAGTTGAAGAAGAAAACAGAATGATAATTACTCGGTTTTATTTACTTGCAAGGTAAAACTTAACGACAGAAATGATGACAAAGAAAACTTAACTCAAGTATCTAAGTTTAAGCATATTAATAACTAAGTTTGCTTAGGTCACGCACTCTGCGACTATCCCAGTCTAGAAATATAGTTAAGGGCAGAAATTGGCCCTTGGAATAAACTGAAAAAATCATTATGGCCCAAAAGCTTCAAAGTTTGGAGACCCCTGTGCTAGACGATAGCTTCCACAAGAATTTTCATATTGACTTAATCCCGAATTAAATTTTATTTGGCCATTCAGTAAATTTTCAGAATTCTGGAATCTGACAATTTCTAAGCATTCCAAAAGATTGAGTTCTAACCCTTTTTTTAGAAATATAATACATCATAGTCTTGGTTGAACTCATGGTACTCTGTCGAAAGATGGTTTGCAAATGAGTATTTGGTTTTCTCAATCACGAAACTACCCCTATGTTCTTTTACTCTTCCGGAAAAGGTTATCTAGGTTTGGCCAATATAACACCGATATCTTCAACTTCATCAACTTGGTTCAAGGGCAAAGAACTTATGCATCATATGCGATTGGTGCTCGAGAAGGATTAAATTGCATGACTAGATATTTGTCAAGATTTAGTTCCAAAGAGTTATTTCAACACCAAATGGTTCACATCATACTGAAGTTTCAATCAACACACGATTCAATCACATGGTATAGCTTGAGATCATCATCAGTAAATATCAATCCCTCTGAGTCAGTAATGTAATGTGTAAGATCATCAATGAAGATATTGAAAAGTATTGGTCCACAGTGACTACCCTGGGGAACACCAGAACTGGCTTCAATTGTATGTGATATGTAATTATTAATTTTCATCCACTGAATTTCACTTGTAAGGACGCTGCCAATCCAATCCAAAACACTATCCCCAAAACCAGAGGATTGTATGTTACGAAGCAATACAACATGATTAACTCTAGAAAACTCCTTTGAAAAATCTCTATAATAGTCCGTTCAAATTAGACCAAAAAATAAGAGTGAAGCTACCTAAATTCCCACTAAGCTGAAAATCAGTAAAATTGTTTGAATTATAATCAAAAATAATATTTGAAAGTTCCCAATATTTCCCCTGCATGGAAAAAAATGTATTCAAGGTCAAAAAAATGAGTTTTTCGCGATTTTCAACATAACGGTAAGTTTTGTCATAAAAATACTTCAGACAAAAATTGTAGATCATCAAATTATCTACAAAAAATGTTTGAATACTTTTTTCCTACAAGCCACCGTGTTGGAGATATATCGATTCAAAAAGTTGTAAAAGTTTTAATTGTCATAATATGCATGAGTACGTCATGTATATACATCTCTGTTGATTCCAGAGTTACTGTAGTATTTGATGGCTATAATAACACGATAAATACCAAAGCTGCAGAACAACGTCGTCGAACTTTAGCAACATCTACATCAACTGATATTTTATTTGATGAAAATATGATAGTTTCAACCAGTCAACAAAAAATTCTTACAAATAACCACAAGTCTCGCTTCATTTCAAATGTTCAAAGAAAAATTTACTGCTAAAAATATATTGGTAAAACAAGCTAATAATGTTGCTGACGTATTGATAATTGAAACAGCAATAGAGCAATTCAATTTGACAAATACAACTATTGTTGTTGGTGAAGATGTAGACACAGTATACTATATATCTGCCGATCCCATGAATGTTCAAAATCTACTTGAAACATAGTTCATCATTGTCCAAATGAGCTGGGTTACTTGAATATTACACAAATGCAAAATTATCATTTGTACAATTTTCTCAGGTTCCCAACATGGTTTTCATCGACTGTATTTTTTTAAGCAGTTTATATGAATAGTTGTTATGTTGAGCAGTGTTTAGATGCTTTGGTTGAGATTGTAGTAGGAAGAAATGTCATTAGTGTCAAATACGTCAGCATTGTAAAAACTGAAACTCCTGGACACCAACATCAAAGGAACCGACGCTAAGTGGGACCACTGTATATAAGTATACTGGGATGTAGACTTACTCGTATTACTCACTGCTCTAACTCCAACTGAAAAAACTATTTTCTTCTTGAAACCAGGAAAGGCTCAACATCAATCAGAAATATATTCATCAAAAACTTTATCTACCTTTGCAAAGTGTCAAAATAATGTCCAATTTTTACATGCAATAACTGGCTGTGTTTTCAAAATGTTAGAAAAACAAATTTAGTTCAATGTGCTGAAGTTTTAAAAAATAGTACCTAATTCAACTCGACAAGAAATTATCACTAACGGCATATTCACTGTCTTCTTTCTATGTACGGAGCTCCTAAAAAATTACCTGCGATACGACACTGTCAACGCAGTTTACATGTACTCAGGATGATGATGAAGAAGAACAAGAAGAAAAAGAACAAGACGAACAAGAACAAGAAGAACAAGAAGAAGGATTTGAAAGTTACGATTCGAACGATTCAATTTCACAACTTTTTTAACTTAAATTGCTTTTATCCTTTCAATCTCTGCTAATTTCCATTATTTTGCAATGGTTTCAAATTAAACAGGATCACAACTAACACGTGGAATAGGCCTACTGGGAAAATCACGTTAAAAAAAACGCGCTAAGTACACTACCTCATAGGCGGCGTGTGCATATTATGACGATTACAACTTTTACAACTTTTTGAATCGTTATATCTCAAAAACAGTGGCTCGTAGGAAAAAAAGTATTGATGCAGTTTTTGTAGATAATTTTGTGATCTACCTACATAATTTTTGTCTGGAGTATTTTTATGATAAAACCGTTTTGCTGAAAATCGCGAAAAACTCATTTTTTAACCTTTGACCTTGAATACAATTTTTTTTCCATACAGGGGAAAGATGGGGAACTTTCAAATCTTATTTTTAATCATATTTTAAACAATTTTACAGATTTTCAGCTTGGTGGGCATTCAGGTAGCTTCATGTCTAAATTGACCGGACTATAAATTGAATACAACTGGTACCATTTCTCAAACGCGGCCCACATGTCCTGATAGATCAGCAAATTCGTGACTGTAGACTTTTCCCTGGAGAAATCATGCTTCTGGTTGGTTAGTGCAGCATGATTATGAAATTTTACTTATCAATCATAGGTGGAGTACAAAATATTTCTTAAGAGTTCGAAAATTTATATTTTACCTTTCTTTCCGTGTGTGTGTGTGTGTATTTATTGGCTTTTCAAGGGGACTGTGGAAGAATTGGCTACAGAGTCTAAATGTTCTTCTTTTATTTACCTTTATTGGATATTTTTGTATTGAAAAATTACTTGGTATTGTTTTAGGTATATATTGGTATCTAAATAATAAATATATAATAATGAATATTATCCTCAATTATTTTCATCTGGTATTAACTTGTTCCCATTATTCTTGCACTTCTAACAGGCTTCTGCACTGATTTACTTGGCATTAGTGTAATTATAAATTGACCTTTCATCATAAAAAGGTGGCCTTTTCTCCGTCGTATTCAGTTCTCGTCCTGACATCGACTCCGTTAATCATTCATCGCGACGGCAAATCACATTTTCTCATTTTCAGCGTTTTCACGGTTCGCCTACGAAATCGATCTTCCCTTCCACCCGAACCGACGGAGCCCTGTAATAGTCCGGACTCCGGGGTAGGGATGTTCGACGTGTACGGCGAGTCGCTAGGTACACAAACACGCTGCTAGTGGACTTTAATCAGTGTCAGGAGTGAGTAGAGTAAACAATTGATGGAACGATGCTAATTTCTGCGAGAAAAATCATCGCAGTGACACTGCGTTGTTCGTAAACAGAGCTACACCTGTTTTCACGTACAAAGCGGTGCAAAGTGAGCTGTGAATCATAACCTAACCAGAAATTAGCTGCAGAACCAGCGATGGGTGATATGTATTTGGATCTGAACCAGTCCTTGGACATGAGGATAGCCCAGTTCAAAAATGATCCCGATAAAATGAAGGACGTGAACGATTTTTTGAACGAACTATTCGAAAAGGCTAAGAAAGAGGCGGAGAAGCGGAATGGTAAACAGAAAGGAAAATTGGTAAGGGAAATTCTTCAGTAGAAACTTGTTGATTGATTCATGACCAGGTAGTTAATTGCATTTTTTTTTGCAGGAGGTGTTAGGAATTCAGAGTAAGTTTATTTTCCTTTTATTTTTTACTAGATAGATAGATATTCTTTTGACTATATAACTCGTACATGATATGGTTTATAGCCAGTCAGTCACAATTATACGAGGTTGTTCACAGAATAAGGTGGACGTTCAAATTTCGCGGACTAGCGATTAGCGATTTTTTATGTTGGTACACAGTTTCAGCTGTTTGGCATGTTTAGTTTTTTGGTGAGAGTCAGGGCCGTCACCATGGGGGGGGGATGAGGGGACCCTACCTCCCTGCTTTTTCGACTTGGGAAAAGGTGGGAAAAAGTTGGGAAATTTTGGGCCGTGAAGATAGAAAATAAAGGGAGAGGTAATAAGAAAAGGGAAAGAACCGGGAGAAGGTTGGGATTTCCCAACATGCATAACTTGGAGA